GTTGATTAATGACAGTGAGCTACTTGCATGCCAGCTGCATAGTATTTTACAGGGAAAACAGCCAGTCTGGAAGGCACAGACAGTACTTTAAGCCACGTACCCCAGCAATATTTATTGCAGTTTAAACGATTTACTGTGTCTTCCCTGTTTGAAAACTTTGTATTGCACAGACCCTTGTGTTACCAAAGGAGAAGGGAGCCTTTTCATGAATGTCAGCCACACTGGAAGCGCCTCGGGTGGTCAGAGGTGTTTACAGGCAAGTCACAGAATCCCAGAATGGTTTGGGTTGGAAGGGACATTAAAGCCCATCCAATTCCAACCCCCTGCCATGGGCAGGGATACTTTCCACTAGACCAGGTTGCTCCAAGCCCCAAGGGAAAAGTTCTCAAGTGGGAAAGCTCTCAAGTTATGTAGAGGCAATTAAATTACCTTGCAGAGAGCTTCCTTTACTTAAAAATTGTCTTAGGCAGTGGTAGGAACACGAATCCATTCCTGAGACAACAGTGTGGGGTTTCTGACTTGAAGAAAGAGCTCTGTGTGTAACTCCTCTGCAAAGAGGAACAAAGGGAATGCATCTGTGGTGACCTGTGATCCCTTCCAGAGGGTCTCCAGGCTTGCACACCTGGACCTGCTGTGCCTGGATCAGCTCCTGTGCCAGAAACTTCTTACCTGGGTGCTGGAAGCTTCTGAGATCTGCTGTGTTGGCTGATGTGGCCCTGGGCAGGGAGCTCTGCTTAACAAGTGCTTTGTGTTTGTTGTAGGAAATGTCTTGCTGGAGAGAGTGTTTGGAGCCATCCGTCCACTGAGCCCCTGCTCTGAGGTGACCCTGAAATGCCCACTGCAGATCCTGCTGCAGGTTGTGGGGTGTGTGTCTCCCATGAACAGCTGTGAGCAAATTTGCCTTCACCCACCACTTCCTCTGACGACTTTCCCAGCAGATCTTGAACTTATGGGAATAATTTATAAACCTGATGTACACAATAAACCAAGTGAATGATATTTTGGGGGGTTTTCTTTGGTTTTTTTATTTTTTTTTTTAAATATTACCTTCTTATGAGCAGGCTCCTGATTTGCTTTTGGGTTATAAAATCATAGGATCCCAGAATGGTTTGGGTTGGAAAGGATCTTAAAGATCATCTTGTTCCATGGGCAGGGACACCTTCCATTATCCCAGGTTGCTCCTTTGATCCAACCTGGCCTTGGACACTTCCAAGGATCCAGGGGCAGCCCCAGCTGCTCTGGGCAGCCTGTTATGTCTTCAGCTTGTTTGACTGTGTCCTAAGGCAGGTCTGCCACGTGTTTGCCTCTTTTCCTGTGCAGGGAAACAACCAGTGGCTGCTGGGTTTGATGATTTATTTATATCATTTCTAGTTCATGGGCTACTCTTAGTGATGTCTTGATTTTAGGTTCTCATTCCTCAATCACTGTGACCTCATGCTTGCAGTTAGCTTTTCATAGCCAATATTCCAGAGTTTCCTGGTAGCAGATTCCTGGCATTGAATTTACCAGAAAGGTTTGGAGTTTTTATCATTGATTCACGGGCCGTTTAAACTGTCTGATTGGGCGCACACTGGTTTTTTTTTTTTTTTAGCTTTCCTGGCTTAATCTGGGGGCTCGAGGAAGGCACTCCCCAAACCCTGGGAGCCTTTCTGTGTACCAGGGTGAAAACCAGGGCTTCAGAGAGCTGCTCAGGTCCTCCTGAATGTGTGGTTTGAGTAGAAAACGAATCTGTATCCTTACTTCATAGGTCTGTTAATTTGTCAGCATAAATTGGTGATGAAACGACCCCCTGTCACAGCCCTTTAGGTGACAAAGGTTTTAGCTGTTAGAAAAAGGAAGAACAAGGATTATTCGTGCTCTGGTCTCTGCCACTCAGCCACAGTGGATGACTCAGACTCAGAGGGGAAAAGTTCATCCCTTTTCACAAAGACCAGAATTTGCAAACAAACTTTTTCTCTGTGTCAGAACAGAGTCACTGTTTTCTCTCTATTCAGTACCAAGTTTCACCTTGTTGTAATTTTTGGTTGTAATGCAAGGCTTGCATATCTTTAGGGGGAAATCCCAGTAGTAGCTGTGCTGCCTATGTGTCACCCTCAGGGCTGGGAGCTTCTGAGGGGTGTTTTTATGGAAAACTGTTGGAAAATCTGCTGAACATCGGCACTTGAGCCACTTATTTAACAGGATAGTTGTTTAGTGTTGCTTCAGCAGGATCACTGTTAATTAATGGGGGGTGAGGAATATCATTTTCTCGTGCAGAATTCCCTTTGCTTCCCTGCTCTAACAGGATAGAATCACAAAATTCTGGTGTGTCCTGAGTTGGAAGGTTCCCACAAAGATCATCCACTCCAATTCCTGGCCCTGCCCAGGACACCCCAGCAGTCCCACCCTGTGCCTGGGAGCCTTGTCCAAGCACCCCTTGAGCTCTGGCAGCCTTGGGGCAGCTTCCCTGGAGGCCTGAAGGAACTGCAGCTTTTGGAATGTTGGGATAACAGTGCTGTTCCCTCACTCTGTCCCACTCCCTGCTCCAGTGGTGCTCCTGACTGACTCCCAGGGGGCCAAAGCCTCACCCTAACCTGGAGATGCTGGGAGTGGAGGCTTGACAACAGCAGCCTTGTGTGTAGGGGTGTTGGTTTTGACCCATTTCTCTCCAAATTCCGCCTGGAAACTGGACATTGTGTCAGGCTGTGCTCCCATGGCAGCAGGACTGCACTCTCAGATCGGACAGCTGAGTGCCTGCTCGCTCTTCCCTGTGTAACACACCTGGACTTGGGGGGCATAATGTGCTGCCTCAGAAATTCCCGGGGTTTGGCTCGTTTCCAGGGGCGGGCAAGCGTGTTCCCACAGCTCAGGGTTCTCTGGGAGGCCTTGGAGCTGCGGGGCTGGGTGTGGCTCCCGTCCCCCGGGGCTCCCCAAGGTGTGGTGATAGCTCTGTGCCCAGCAGGAGATACTGAAAGGAGGAAAACTTACTCGAAATATCCAATCTTTGCACAGGCAGCACTGCAAGGAGCGTTCAGACCTTGCATTTGTTTGGGGATAGTTCAGCTCTTTGCGTTTCCTGCAGCAGTTCCAGTGATGGCTTTATTGCTAATTAACCCTAGGATTAGTGTATAACTGATTGAATTGCTGCATTTCACCTTTCACAAGAGCAGGAAATGCTCTGTTGCAAATACCCTCTGCATTCCTGGGCAAGTTTCTGTTAAAATTCTTAATTACTGTTCAAGTGGCTTGGGTGGTCCTTGTAATACTTAATATCCCAACATTGCCTCTTTTCTAACAGTTAATTATTTCCATAGTGAGCTACTGAATGCCACATGCCTTAGAGGAGCAAAATTAAAACACAATGACCTGACAGAGGGGGGGAAAAGGAGGAAAAACTTCTCTGTCCAGACCTGGGAGAGGGCACAGAGGTGGCCAGACTCGTGGATTGGGAACCCTGTGGCCAGTCCTGCTCTGGAAAAAGCTCCTTGGTTGGCTCTGGGATATTTGACTGCAGAGTCAGGAGCTTCAAACCAGGGCTAAATAAAGAGGTTTTCTGTCAGGATGCCCTGTCGCTCCTTCCATGACTGACAACAACAGATTTTGGTGATTTTTTTAGATTATCTGCTCATCCTGGAGCAACATGGACGCTCTCTGGCAGCTGAATCCACTTTCAGCTGGTGGCAATACCTACAAATACCTCATCTGCTGTACCTTGGCAGTGTTCCCAAAGCAATGCTGGAATATTTTCCCTTGGGCTCAAGAGTTCCTTTCTACCCAAACATTTCACAAAGCCTGTCACAGAATATTCTGAATTGGAAGGGACCCACAGGGATCATTTGGTCCAGCTCCTACAGGGATCAAACCCACACCCTTGATGTTAGCACCAGGCTCTAACCACACACAGTCCTACTGCCAGTAAAACTGATTTTCTAACTCCTGATACCCCAAGCTCGAGGCCCAGAGGACATTTCAGGGATCCCCTTCCCCATCTGCACCCCCAGCCCCATCTGCTCCCAGCTCTGCCAGTTCCTTCTTAAGAATGCCCCTGAAGGGGATTTCAGGTGCCTCAGTTTCCCTCCTGCACTCACTATTATACTTCATTTTCAATCAAGAAGCTGGATTTCAGTGCAAGTTTTTGGTTAGGACAGTATGAGTTGGGCTGGCTTGTGAGGTCTTGGAGTGGTTTTCCAAAAAAAAAAAAAAAGAGGATTTATGCATTACAGAAAACAGTGTAGGTTTGATCAATACTGGGAACTGGAACTTTTCTGATCTGTTTGTTCAAGATTGCAGGAAATAACACCAATAGAAGAGGGAGTTTCCTAAGTGTGAGCCCAGGGGAGAGAATGTTAAACCACCAAGCCCCAAACCAATCCCAGGGGAGCTGGAATACCTCGAGGGCAATGGGAAACTCAGCACTAATCAAATAAAAGACAACACCTCCACCCTTGTGGGTCTTAAGTCTTTCTGAACCAAGCAAATGTAACCCAGCTCTTGGAAGTTATTTTTGGTTTCTACCCCTGAGTCTGGACAATTTGAACCCCATTGTGGGGGTCTTGGGGTTCCCTCTCATCTGCAACACGTGCCTCACATCCATCCACTCCTGCTGCTTTCCAAATAGGGGAGTTTGAAATAAATGAGTGAGCCCTGATATAAAAAGTAAAAAAGATAATAAGTAATAACCCACTGTGTAAAGTTTAACAACGGTTAGTGCCAGATCCTGCCCCTGGGATGGGCAGCCCTGGATGCAGGTACAGACTGGGGAATGAGAGGCTGGAGAGCAGCACCAGGGGAAGGGCCCTGGGGGTCCTGGTGGGTGGCAAGTTGGATCTGAGTCAGCAGAGTGTCCTGGCAGCCCAAAGGGCCACCCTGTCCTGAGGGGTTTGGACAGCGCTCTGAGGGACAGGGGGGGATTGTTGGGGTGTGCTGGGCAGGGCCAGGAGTTGGACTGGATGATCCCTGTGGGTCCCTTCCCACTCAGGACATGCCAGGATTCTAACTTAATCTACCACCAGCTGTGGACTGGAGGAAGCACTGGCAGTTCGCACAGACCGAGTTTGATGTCAGCCCAGAGCAGTGGCTGGAGCTGAGCTCATTGCAATGATCCCAGCGGGATCCAGGCGCGCTCCCATGGACACCGCTGCTCTGAAGTTGGATGCTGATCCCTTCCCAACTCTCCTCCCAGGGCTTCCACCCTGGGTCGCTTGGCCCTGCTTGGTGTATACTTTTTTCCTGAAAAACTTTTCATCGCTTTGTCTTCACTCCAGCTCCTCCAGAGCAGATTTCCCCCCCCCTTTCACGAGGTGGCTTTGAGGGTTTTTTGTGTGTGGCTCGCCCTTCAGACCCTGTCCCGGAGCGGGGCTGTGGGCGCTGTGCCGAGCTGAACGGGGGCTGGCCCCAGTGGGCCCGTGTCCCCATCCCCGGGCTGTGGGCGGGGGTCGCGCCGGGCGGGTCTGTGTCCCCGGGCTGTGGGCGGGGGTCGCGCCGGGCGGGTCCGTGTCCCCATCTCCGGGCTGTGGGCGGGGGTCGCTCCGGGCGGGTCCGTGTCCCCATCTCCGGGCTGTGGGCGGGGGTCGCGCTCAGGCCGGTCCGTGCCCGCGGGGCGCGGGCGGGGCGGGGGGCGCGGGGCGGGGCCGGCGCTGCGGGGGGCGCGGGCGGGGGGTCGCGGGGCCGCCAGTGCGGCCGGGGCGGACGCGGGGGGAAGATGCCCAAAGCGGCTCTGCGGGGACACCGCGGGGGCCCGCGGCGGCGGGGGCCGGGGTAAGAGCGGGGGTGCCCCGGGGGGGGGGGGGGG